GGATAAGTCAATCAATGAAATAAGTATAGCGCCAATATTGTATCTCTTTCGTAGGGGACATTTTTGCTCTAAAGTTAGGCTCATATGGCACGAAAAAGATCCTTCACTGCTCAATGGCCCTGAGTACCGAGTAAAGGCCAACATTTTAGCTCTCCACTTGCAAGTGCTGACATCTCCATATAAGTGAAAAAATTCTCGAGAGCGACCTTAAAAAGATAAAATTAATGAATCGATCATTGTACACTTTTTAGCAGAGGACATACGCAGCACTGTTAAGGTCTACTATGAGAAATCAACGGAAATAGACGTGCAAAATAGGGTGACCTTTTTAAAACTGAATTTATTTTAATTAAGCCGCTTTATTATCACAGAACACAAGTACTTATTGAAATAGCATAGAATTACCCACTCTGTACTGTATGAAGTTTGGTCCCATCGATGTACAGGCACGTGATGAATGCATAGTTCGAGAACTGAATGTAGGTCATGAACAAATTTCAAAATCTCAAGGGTATACCTTATTTGAAATTAAACATTCAAGTTATTATTTGATTCCGCATACTTTGTAGTTTCTGAAAAGTGCTGCTGCTTTGAATAGAATTCGCGTTTTAATAGATAAATATTTAAGTAAATAAGCCTATGTCGAAATATGTTTGACTTTTACCAAATATTTTGTGTACTTATAAAATCACGCCCTCGATTGAAAGAAAGCAGCAGCACTTTTCAAATTAAGAAAAATATCCTTTATCTATATTCAAAAAATGGTTAAGATCTATGAAGTGTATGCCCTTGCGAAAGTGTGATTTTATGAGGTATCTCGATGTAAAATATACGTAACCTGTACATAAAACACGACATAATTAATAAAATACATTCTCTTGATAGTTTATAAATAATCGCACTAAACAAAGGATATGCATTGGCAATAATCGACTATTTAAAACCTGTAAATAATATTCCGTTTAATGATAAAACGCACTTTTTATTGTTAAAAAATCCTGAATCTACCTCTCACAGCATATGAAATACGTAATTTTTACCAAAATGACGTCATGTTTACAAATTCATCGCAATCAGTGCTTTGTCTCTAACCAGCTTCATGGGATTTAACTAGCAATTTTTTTTTAAAATCCATTGAAAAGTTTTATTGTTGTTAATTATGCTAATACAGTTAAAATTTGCAAACTATTTCATTTTCAGGTATAATGAGAAATACATAAAAGTCATATTTTTGTGTGACTTCACAGTAAACTTTTCCCGTATAAATTAGACCCCGCCCCCTTATTCAAGCCTTAACAATGCTGCGTATTTGCTCTTCATATAGGCTCATATGGCACTAAACATCCCTTACTGCTCAATAGTTCTAAGTGTCGAGTAAAGGCAAAATTGTTTTGCTCTTCACCGGTAAGTGATGGTGTCTCCATATGAGTGAACAATTCTCGAGAATGACGTTAACCAATATAAAATAAATAATTTAGGGATACATACATCACCAATAATGATGTTTTTTAGCAAAATTGTTCTCGCCTTAAACTGTGCTTAATATAATTGTATTAACTTAACGATATTAGATAATTATTAATTATGATGCTTTTACCTACCCACTTACTTTTAAGGCGTATGACTGGAATAGGAAATGCATATAAAGTATGTATTATAAAATCAATTTTGTTGTCAAACCCCTACATGTATTTTCTTTCTTGTATATAATTACTTCTTGCATTTGTTTTTCCAATTATATATTTTGACAAAAGAAACTTATGTCCACATTTTCTTGCTGACATAATGACGACATTTCTAATAAATAAATTTATATTCAAACGGAAATTAGTGCATTTTGAGGTTAATTTAAATACAATTAACCCTTTTGCTTTCCGATTTTAAATTTTACTTTTTTCTGACTAAATTATGAATTTCTGCTCATTTTGATATTGAGTCAAAAAATTAATTCACTTCACAACAAATAAATCTCTAAGGCAAATAATTCCTAATTTCTAAATCATTTAACACTAAATAGCTTTCCGATTTTAAATCACAATTAAATTTTTCTATTCAAACCTAAATAATTATTTGAATTATAGACCAATGTGTTCATTTTGATATTTAGCCAAACATTAAATCACGTCCTCTCAGTTAACAGGTAATGTGATCTATGTTTTAAGACGTCGACATTAACATATTGACCTTGATGAGTCATTCATTGCCAGAAATAGAAGACAGGTAAAGACTTCAGAATTCAACCCGAAAGTAAAATCAAGGTGAGGAATATTTTCTCTTTCGAAATGAAAACTTAGTTTGGTAATTTTCAAGGGAAAAAGTACATGGTGTTCCAAATGTTTATTAAGTTTTGAATTTAAGAATTGTCAATTACAAGATTGTTTACGGATAAATTTAATGTACGTTTTCCTTACATTCCTTATTATATTTCCCAATGCACATGTCTGTACACACATTGTCACTTGTTTATATTAAGCAGATCGTTGTGTGTATCATTGGAACATATATAATTTAAAAAAGAAACACAATTAACGGGGTCTTTCTATTAACAGATGAAATTACAGTTAATTAATGTTATATACTTCAAATATATTTCAAATCAGGAATTTCATTCATTCAGCCATACATTAACACAAGCACTGGGCATTAATTACTAAGAACGGTCTCTTGCAAAGTAATTTTTTTTCTTTTTTTTATTTACACGACATACAGTATTAAATACAGATTTGAAAAGAAACAGAATGATGTGTTATTTTTCTACTTTAAGAGAGGGAGAGAGAGAGAGAGATAGAGAGAGAGAGAAGTTAAAATTAACAGCAGATTCCACTTGTTTCACTGGGTATCAAACTTTTCCTTTTTACCATTCTTATACGCAATACATTTTTGTGTTTCATAGTGAAATTTCATTTGTAATATTGCAATTAGTAATTAATTTCCTTATAGATGAAAGGGATGTGAATAATGAAATTACATGCACGAAAAACAAAACAAAAATAATTTTTTTTGTTGCATGCATTTATAAATGCCAACTCTAACGTCAGAAACATGTGCATTTAAATGTTGAATAGTTGTAGAAAACACCAATTATGAAAGGAATTTTCTCCCCGAAAATATAATCTCATATAACTGAAATATATATGATATTATTTTTGAATTTCGCATAACTAATTCAAAAATTATTACACCCATTCACTGTAATTAAGTCTTTTACAAATCAAATCTAATGAGTATTAACTAAAAGATAATGAAATCAATGTAATAAAGTGTTTTTAAAACTAAACTTGCCAAAGGAATATTAATTTTTCAAGTGAAAGGGCTTAATCTAATAAAGGTAAGATTGAGAATATAAATAAAAAGCAAATCATGTTTATGAATTATTCATGTAGATCTTTAGAATTAAGACCTGGGATTTAATTCTTATGAAAGTATAATATATAATTTCTGCACGAGGGAATACAAAGTTATAATCTATTTCATACACTGGCAAGTTCAACTCACATTATAAAGATTTGTAAATATTTCAGCAGAGAGAAATATAATTTATCATTGATATTTAATCTTAGTGTCACAGAGTTATCGACTATGAATGTGTTTGTATGGAATGTAAAGAATGGCCTAAATGAATTTTTATGTGTTTCAAACTGTGATTATTTTGTGTTGTAATGCGATTGTGCTTGTTTATATGTTTGACTGTGTACATTTATATTATTATTGTTTTTAGGTTAAAAAAGAAAAAAATAATTTTTAACCCTAAATAACACTAACAACACATTGAGCAGTGAGTATTCCCTGCTAACCAGTCAAACCATCTACACGTTTGGTTTGACTGGTCAGCAGGGGATACTCACTCCTAAATGGTATCTGATCCCTCTTCCATGTTTTGGAGGTCTATTTTTGCTCTGCTCCTATTTTCTATATTGTTTTATGTATTTTTGATCTTGAATTCTGTTTGTTATCGCCACGTTTCATCTCCTCGAAATAATGGTTGATTGATTGATGAATTTGATATTATTTAACGTCACAATCGAGAATTTTCTCTCATATTGAGACATCATCACTTGCCGGTGGAGAGCAGCATATTTTGTCGTATGCTCGGCACTAAGAAGTATTGTGCAGTGAGGAATCTATTTCGTACCAGCACCTTCTGTGACACGGGACTTCATCCGAAGGGCCGGTCTCCACATTTCTCAGCTAGGTTCGTATACGCGACGTAAGGATCAATTCTTTACATCGCGACTCTAGAACAGAAGCTCTAAAAACTGCGCCTAGCAAGTGACATCCAAATAAACAATAGAGTCTAACCTTATACCTTCACGAGTTGTAATTGATTTCTACAAGAACTGGTTACATAACGAACAGTAATTAAGTTCAAAAGTTCAGTAAACAATACAAATTTGGAGCAGAGAAAAGACGGACGTTTAAAATAGCAGAGGTGGGGTCAAGTGCAATGGAGGAGTTAGCATTCCCTGGCAAGGTCATTGTATCGACCATAGAACTTACGAAATGGTGACTTTCAACGACACTGCTGTTTTCTTGTTACATCAACTTGCATGTCAATAGCCTACCTCGTTTCAAAAATTGTTTATTTGTAGAGCATACTCTTGCGTAACGTATCAACTGATCGAGAGATACACATTAATCTTATGACGGATGAATATATTTCTTACGGATATTTAAAAAAGCCCCGTTCATACTGACTAGTTTAGTATTAAACATGGATTTCTCTCCTACCCTACTTCATTTATAGAATATTGTATACGGAAATAAAGGCCAAATGAACTTGAAATTTATGTTTGTTATTAAATACTATATACCACCTTTGTTCATTGTAACCTTTGAAATGGTGCCAAACACCAAAACACCATAAAAATAATTGCATAGTCAATAAATAAGCACTCGCAATATAAATTGCAGAAATTCACGTAAAGGAGAAGAAATAACGTACAAATCTCTATGTTTCAGATACCTGTATTTGCTGTCGGATTCTTACAAGATATATAGGGATGGATAACATACCTCGCCTGTCAGAGGCTGTGTATGTAGGACTGTGTCGTGAAGTAGGGAGTCCTTCAATTGTGAGGATGAGGAGAGAAATGATGGACACTGATGAGGCAGTGAATCAGCCTGTGAACATAATGAGAGGATTTGATAGAATGGAGAGTGGGAGTAGGCGTGAGGGATTCAGACTAAGGACTTCAGATGCAGATTGGATGTTCTGGCCTCCAGACTGCAAGGTGATATGTGATATCTCTCAGATCATTCTCTACCGTATTCCACAACACACTGTGATTCTGATGGAGTATGATGACCTACCACCGGGTTTTACCAGACTTAACCTGATGAGTCAATCTAATAATTCACAAACCATTTCCTCTTGCGTAGTAGTGAATCCCAAAGCATACCTTTCAAGTACATTATTCAGAGATAACCATTTGCGTTTCGTAAGGTCCTGCAATGTTCCTTTGACCAATGCTTTCCCTCATGGACCTTGTTCTACATATTCCTTATTCCAAGAAGCTGATACTGATTTTGCATTCTGTATCCAATCACATCACTGGCCAAAGTTAGCACTACCGTGGATAGAAAGAAGTAGTGAGCGGGGCTGGCCAGATCAAAATGTTGTAGATGGTATTTTAAGAGGAGGATTTCATGTTGTCCCTATCGGAAGCACGTCAGAGAATGAACTCGAATGGAGAATGTCTTTCTCACAAGCAGAACAAAAAGTCGTTTATTCAATGAATCATTGTCAGTTTTTGTGTTATGGTCTCTTCAAAATTTTTCTGAAAGAAGTTATTAATGGCAAGACCAATACATCCATTCTTTGCTCATACTTCATAAAAACTAATGTGTTTTGGGTCATACAGAACAATAACTCCCTGTCTTGGAAACCAGATAACTTATTGTCTTGTTTCTGGAAAAGCTTTAAATTATTGATATCCATGGTGCTTACTGGAAATTGTCCAAACTTTTTTATTCCACAAAACAACATGTTTAGAGTGAAAGTCACTGGTTCTGTACAATATTCGTTGCTAAGTCAGTTGTATGATTTGTACAATATAGGGATATCATGTCTACTATTAAGTGAAACAATCCGACCTTACCTCAGCCTTGCTATATCCAACAGGATATTGAGATTTAGTACAGACGAGAGAAGTATTATATCAGCCACTGATTTAGATAGGTGTTTATTTGGTGAATTATTAATATTTGATCAAACTATTCAGAGTGCTAAGGAATTTGCAATTTATATCAAACAAATGGAGAGAATGATTAGGGGAGTGTTGACATCGTATCAAACACTCATGTTACAATATATGACATCAAGTGTGCTAAGGAATATTGCCATGTTCTTACAGAGTTGTATGTATCTAAATGAAAATGGGAACAAGGCTTGTTATAATGCAAAAATAGCAGCCTTACTAAATCAGTCCTGTAACTTTGGATATTTATCTGATATTCTGTATCTTGCTATCCATTTCTACAGAACACGTAGACACGAAGACTCACTCAGGTTCTTACATAAAGGGCATGAGAGAATGACTTTACCGTATATCATGTATATGGAGCATGTTAATGTTTATATGTACAATTACTACATGAAAAGGAGTTCCCTAGGTACTAAGATGAGGAGGGCTGTTCTTAGAAATATTGATATTTATTGTGCTTTCAGTTACATTGACGAACTTGTTTTAGAGCAGGAGGTTAGTAAAAACAATAGCATGCTGACATTACACATCCCACCTCTGGTGATGTTACACATGTTGTTTATACTGAATCATTACAGACTGGGTGACACAGTCAGGTCACAACAATCTCTACAGGATCTACAGACTCTGCTTTACAATGATGATGGGACCTGTGTACCTCTTCTTCTCAGAGATATTTCCTGGCAAATTCTGGGAATCTGTCATCAAATTTTCGGGAATTATTTAGAATCCCTACGGTGTTATCATTTTTCTTTACAACAAGAATCTTTTCATAAGCTTCAGAAAGCAACATTGATAAGAATAAACAGTCTCCAAAATGAAGCCCTTTGAGGTTTTTGAATATGTGAATTTGTTAATACATCATTTTGATTTATTGTATGGCACTTGCATTTATAATTTTGTATTTTGTTTTTGCTGGATTTGATATTAATATACGCGAGGTCATGTAAATTTTATAGTTCTACTAGGGATATTATACACATGCCTTTTATATAGCTGACATTAATATTAATGCTTTTTTCTGATAAAAATACAAAAAATCCATTTAATAGAAGTATCACAAACAACATAATTCTGTTAAATAAGTGTGACTGTCCGTCCTTTATGTTATAAATGTTTGATTTTATGTAAAAAACTAAATTGTTGACAAGGGACATGATTTTATGTTTCGTTCATTGGTATAAAATAAACACAATCTTTAAAATCGTTAAAGGAATAAAGTAAGTATATTCTGAGTAAAAGTGGGAATTAATTAAATATTATTGTTCTTAGGAAAGATGTTATCCTCATTTCTTTCTCAAATTCAGATGTAACATAAAGTTTTAAGTTTTCATTATCTTATGTTTAAATTTCATTGTTATCTTAAGGAATTATATATCATAAATACATTTCACCCAGCAACTGTTGTCTAAAACATTTAACTGAAGGCAGAGACTGTCCTCCTTGGGTGACTTTTTAAAATTCCGTTGTTTATCGTTTCTTTATTCTAGTTTCGTGTTTATAACATACTGTTGAAACTATACCGGGTATTTCCATTAAAAACTTTCTGTCGTAGAGAAATAAATAAATGTTGACTTATACATTTCGTGTCATTCATTGCTATGTAAAATGTGGAGCATCTAAATTTGGAAAATAATCCTACAAATGTCTTGTCGGAAGATTTTTCTCCCAAAGTATAAAACTACGTCCGATTTGATTTAGATTTCAACGTTGTATGGGGGTACAGATTGATACAGAACAGTGAATACGTTTTCAAATCCTGAGACTATGCTGTGTAATATACTTTTTGCATTTTATAGATAATATAGAAACTATTTATAGATGATATGAAAAGAAAATTAAATGACCGTCATTATATGTCGGAGGAACTTATTCATATCAATCTCACTTTGATTTTTTAAAGAAAATAAAGTGAAGATTTTGAGTGAATTTAACTAACTAAAAATATCTATATCTCACGACGGATCAAAAGAGTGTGAACATGGTAGTTGTGTCCATAATACAAAGTTGTGTTTTTACACCTCAATGCTTAACAAGGAAGGATTTTTTTCATCCAATTTTTACAAGAACAAAACTAGATTGCTTCACGATTTTAAAATAACTCAGTAGATCATTATATGGTGTTTGAAACACTTGGGGGATTTAGTTACTCTCAAGAGTTTCATATTCAATGAGTTTAAAGGGCAAAGAAAAAACTGTAGAAATGATTTTAGATAAAGAGTTAAAATGTTATGCGTTTGCTGTCAATAACAAGTTTTAACAAGCACACTTGCGAACAGTATTGTTGTACTGCCTATTGCCCACGTCCAATAAAATGCAAGTATAGCAGTAAGTTTAACCGTTTATTGCTCCATGTACATAATGATGATGTTGATCATAGCAATGAAGTGGAAATGGTTAGATCTGAAACATTACAATGAATCAAATAAGAACAGAGAATACAATAGTTGACATTTCATGCAAAAGGTAAATAAATGTAACCTGACGAATGACTAGAACAAATGACTAGGACTATTACTCTATCTCATAACCTTTGTATAGGCTTAAACTTGCATAATCAATTGACATGTATTAGATTAACTTGATCAATCTATGTTTTACAGCATGCCATTAAATTTCTGCATAATCTATGTACTTAACACAATCAATGTTTTACAACATGCCCTCAAATTTTCCCGCACTTTTCAATACTATAGATGATTACATTTCACATGAAATAATAATACTAGACTAGGAGAAAATAACTGAAATATTTGAGACATATGTGACTGTGTAATCCAATACAAAAATGCCATATATTGAGACATAAACCTTATAAAATCTTATAAATCATGAAAAGTGCAACTCGCACATGTTATCTAAAAATAGATTCCACACACTACATCATAAACCAAGATGTTTTACAAAATAATGATCAAATGCATACAAAATCATAAACCGTACCGATTTGATAATGAATATTAAGCATTGCAAACAATAAAACTTACTCCATTGTGCGTCCAAGTTGCAGAGAACGAGGTAAACAGGTATGGTAAGAAGCTGCGAGCCAATCAACAATAAGAAAGGAAAATGTGGAATTGATATAAAAATGAAACCAACACATCAAGTTTTGATAATTCCGGATTGCTAAAAAATGTGACAACACAATTGTAGATCACTTAAGTGCACACATAGCACATGTAGACTACATAAGATTATAGGACTTTTGCGAAGACACTGACTTTTACAGTTGACGGCTTACTTTTACAACAGAAAAATATACGGTAGCTCTTTTGTGAAAAAATATTGATCTTAATTTTTAACAAAACAATAATAACGGACTATTTCAAAGATCGTATTACGTTGTCGAGAACGAAAACGGCAACATTCCTATCTTCAACACCCTCCCTTCAAGTCTTGACTAACGTCTGCAGAGTTTTCTTACCGAAATTTGTCTTCTTCTTTATATCATTTCTTAAGTTATTTAAAATAAAAGGATATATTAATTCTCGTGAATAAAGTATCCAAATAAATTTTATTTTACCATCAATTATAATTTTTGTTTGATAAATTATTTTAAGCCCCGAATACAATAACTTTCACCTCTTGAGATGTTTTCGATTTTCTATTTTCAATTCCGTACCTCCGTACATGACGCAGGTTTAAATGTCCAAGTAAGCTGTCGAATGTAAAAGTAAGTCTCTTCATAAAACTCCATAAGGGACTTTAAATGAAAATTTTGTAAACGATCCTCCGTTTTTTTATGGTTTAAAAAGAACATTCTGAAATGATCGATCAAACTATTTTAATGTTAGGGCTATTAAATAATAAATTTTAAATTTAAAGACTAAATTAAACTGATGTGTTATGCAGGATATTTTCTGATTGATCTTAATTTATTTAATTTATATCTATTATACATGAAAATTTAAAAGACGGGATATTATGTGTTCAAATATTTTGATAGCAAAACGAATTTTTGAATTGCTAAGTTCATCATTATTTTCCTTGTGAATGTACATCATGATTCCAAGGACTGGAGGGGATACTATCGAGTCTTACACGTATGAACATCAGAAGGTATAAACATTCTTTTTCTGTCATTCAATCAGTTATTTACAATGTTGTAACAAAAAAATTCGACATCAACGTTGCAGCTCATGTTGCTTTAATACAAGTTTCATCAAAGGAAATGATTGATTAAAACTATTTTAATTTCATAGTTATGAACGCATTTTAGAATTAAAAATTAAATTAAAATTGATGTGTTATGCAGAATATTTTGTTATTGATTTTCGACTTATTCAATCTATATAAAATATACATGGAAAGTTAAAATACGGGAGAGGATGTATTCAGATATAGATATTTTGATAGCGAACCGATTTCTTTCTTATTATGAAATTCAACAATGTTTTCCTTGTTTTTGTTCATCATTTTTTATCATTCCAAAGTCGGGACGGGGGTTCTATTAAGTGTTTGATTGATTTATTGTATGTTGTTTAACATTCCTCTCGAGAATTTTTCACTCTCGTGGAGACGCCCTGACTTGACGGTGGATAGCTGCACATTTTGTCCTGAACTCGGCACTCGGGACCATTCAGACACTGAGCAGGGAAAAATCGTGCGAGCAATTTCTGTCATACGCGGCCTCGATCGGATTACATGGTCTTATTCGAAGGATCGGTCCCCACGTCCCACAGTGGAATTGAGATAGTCTACTCTTGTCACAGTCATTTAAAAGAAAAAAAGATATTAAACAATCTTCTTCAAAGAATACCCTGTCATGAATCTAAATTTGAATACTGTTAACTTTAAAAGCTGGCGTCTTTGAAAAAAATTCTTGGGACTAAAAGCTTGCATCCGCGAATAGTTTTGCTTTTTTATGCACCGGTTGACATTTAAATTGAAGAGACCTTTAAAGTTATGTACAATACTCGTATGCATTAATACATGTAATCGATATAATTTTGAAAATTGACTATTTATTTTTTGTTTTTATTATTATTTTAAGGATGGCGATGCTATCATATATAATTAAGCATAATTATGATTTTTATTAATTAGTTTTATCCACGGGATAACCCTCCTGACATATTGCTCTATTTTTACTTGAAAGTATTGGTTTTAAATGAAATTGTTATTTGACATGATTTTACGATCAGGTTAATAGATTTCACATATCATCACGTTGATGGATCAATTATTGTTGATTGTTAATTTTTTGATTATATTATACTTTAATTTCTCTCTAGGATAACCATAAAATTCATCATGATATCATACTATAATGAACTTCAATCCGTGTCCAATCTCTTTCATGATTTGAGAAGGACGCAAGGCTTTGATTATCACAAAGCTTTTATTTTTCCACTTGACGGAAATTTATATTAATATTCGAAGGGGGGGGGGGTTAATTAACTATACTGGGAGAAGGTTTACTATATGGTAGTTATTTGAGGATATATAACGAGTGTGGGGAGTAAAGACTTATCTCTCGGAGAAATTTAACTCTGACTAAATATTACTATAATTATACATATCATCTAAAAGATTGTTAAAATAGGGACGTAATATCAATCATCAATGGTTATTTCCATTCATATGTCAAATCGATGTATCATAGTGAACTTGAATAAAAAGTACTAAACAAAGTTTGACATATATGTTGACGTTGATTATAATTTTAAATAAAAAAAATATTAAACACGATGATCAACTTTTTCTGTCGTCAATTTCCTTTATTTATGAAGTAATACATAATTATAATCTGCCTAGGAATCCTATCTTTCCTATTTTTTTTCCAATTTCTAAATAAGCATTATCTACCTTTATTAGAGAATTAATGTCTT